ACTCCAATCTTTTATAGCCAGGAAACCTGTGTTTGTTTACTAAGGTATATGAACAAACAAAGCCATGTTGTTTATTTCTAATTCCAATGCTTTTCCTTTACTCTTTCCTACTCTCTTTTCCCTTATTTTCCTTCCTTTTTCTCTTTTTCCCCTCTTTTCTCTCTCCTTCCTCCTTTTTCCCTTTCTTCTTCCTCCTTCCCCCCCCTCTTTTCCTCTTCTTTCTTTCTTTCTTTCTTTGTCTGTCTATTTACTTGCTTCTTTTCCTTCAATGTCTGTCTTTTTCCTCCTCCTCCTCCTCCTCCTCCTCTTCCAATGAAAATGGAAGACAGACTTTTCTCTGCATTGCCATCGCAGCAGCTGCAAGTTTTAATGCAAGTTTCCTTCTACTTTCTTTATTTTCAGACAAACATTCCAGTTTAGGGGAGAGTTATCGGGAAAGTCGGGATATCAGGGATGGCGACCGAGACAGGAATGACAGGGATAGGAGAGAAATGTATCATAGTGAAGATATGTATGATAGAAGAGACTCTAGAAAATATGGCCAAGGTAAGGTGGAGTTTGATCATATCTGTTTTGTAAACATGTTACTTTCCTTTGGAATTTTCTTTTCTGGCATTGCATGTTCAAATGCATGTATACCTAGTTTTAGTTCTCTGTCTCTGTTTATATATTTGTGTGTGTGTGTTTGTATATATATTTGTATGTATATATGTTTTGGTACATTTGAATGTATATTCACATACATATATGTTTATGTAAATATGTATATTATATATATAGAGAGAGAGAGAAAGAGAGAGAGAGAGAGATATTGATAGATTGATAGAGAGAGAGAGAGATTGATAGATGATAGATATCATTGTAATTTTAGGTTTAAAGTGAAATTGTTTTAGTATACATTCGTGTATGTACCTCTGGGACCAGACTCAAGTTAGAGATTGTCATTCTTTTGGTAAGATCCAAGTGCACTGTCTGCAGAGTTTTAGAGCCAGACATAGTGCTCTGTGCCAAGACCTGGCTTTGCTTTATTTGTGGGAACAAACTTATGTTGAATTTTATTTTTAAGGTTTTGTGAATATTAATTTACACTTCATGCATCAAAAGCAGCAGACCGCCAGTTTTGTAAAATGACAGTGTATTATTATTATTATTATTTTTTTTTTATTATTATATTATTTTTTTATTATTTATTATTTTTTTTTTTTTTAGTAGTAATATGATTGATTTATTATTTTTTTTTTGGGGGGGGGTGGGGAGTCAATTTTTTCTTGTTTTTGTAACAGGTCAATATCACTGAGTGTAAGGAAAAATCTTGGCACAAGCTGTTGTGAATGTTGTAGATTTTATGTTGAAGCCAACCTTAGATGCACTTACCCTAGGAGAGAGTAACATAATCTTTTTCTTGCTTACATCCACTACTATTGTATGAGTATGCAACTTACCTACAATTATCTGCTTTTGAAGTTCTTATTTTTGAATGGTTAATTTTACTTTAATTTAATTGTGATTTTTGTCTTCATACTTAAATTGTGATTTTTGTCTTCATACTTAACATAAAGCTATGTACATGTAATCATTCCAAATTACAAAGTATTTGTTGAATCTTTACCTTCTATCATTTCCACTTTTCCCATTATGTTGATTGTTCTCTTACTTCATTCTAGTAATTTAACTTTTGCTTTACCCATTGTATATTATGCTGTAGAGTTGTTTTATTGTTATAATTGTCTTTCATTTCTTTGTTTAACGTTTTGATTAGTAGCTTTGATTATTTCTTTAAAAGTCATTCTATGTTATGTAAGGTATTCTATTATTTTCTTACAAGCGAATATTATTTCCATTGATGATTACACATTCCCAAATCATTTAAAGATATTTTGACTCTTTGCAGAGGTTGGTGCAGCAGACATGGACATTTCTTCAGGTGATAGCACTCCAACGTCAGAGCACCTTCATAATAGGGGCAGTGGTGAGAACAGCCACGACGTCAGTGGGGCCAATGTGTCGTTAGCATCGTCAGGTTTGGTGTCTGCGTCGGGCACCTCAGTAACGTCCACCCACGCAGGCTCAGCCCCTGCACTCTTGAGAACTAAGCTGGGAACCAGTTTAGGGATGCTGCCCACATCTCTACCCTCCTCCTTACCCCACCTGGGTAGCAGCACGGCGGCCTCCACCTCTGTCACCAATACCACCACCACCACCTCCTCCCTAGGTAGCAGCATCCCAACCCTCAGTGGTTCCACGCCCATGGCTGTGCCGCAGCTCCTTAGCCACCACCCTCGCGTCATATCCCTCTCTAGTTCTCTGAACAAGGGTGGTGTTGATGTGGATACAGCAAAGACTGTCAACTCAAACAACTCTCATTCTCATGATGGAGAGGGACATCTAGTGAAATTACAATTAGAACCTCTAACAATATCAGCAAATAGTAATAATATAGGTGGAGGTCCTCCCACACCAACACACTCTGAAAACCAAGATGGCATTGACATCAGAAAAG